AATGCTCAGTCGTATATTGATATTTTGAATAGAAAGTTAAAGGTACACATGAATATTTCAAATACTACAATATTCCAACAAGATTCGGCACCATACCATTTTGCTAAGTCAACACTGAACTGGTTTACGACAAACGGCGTTATGGCCTTAAACAACTGGCCATCAAGTTCACCCGATTTAAACGTAATAGAAAAATGCTTGAATGTAATGAAAAAGAAAGTTGCGGCACACCAACCCAAGTCAGTAGAGGACCTGAAACGTATTGTGAAGGACGCTTGGGTGAAGGAAATTACGCCGGATTATTGTAAAACTCTGGTTCGTAGCATGCCTGCACGTATTGATGCAGTGTTGAAAAACCGTGGTTTTCCAACCAAATATTAGTGCATAGACTGATAAATAATAAGGACTGGTACATTACACATTGTGCTATATAAATTAATAAAGTTGCCAAACATTTACGTTAAAAAGTGTAATTATTCTCTGTTGTGTTGAAGAAAACTTGTGAAATTTCATGTGGCCTTAATTTTTTGCACACTACTGTATGATAAAAAAGTGCTTTTTACAGTTGGTGGAGAGTAAAAAATTGAGGTTAACTCATACTGAATCTCAATTAACTGATGACACTATAAAAAGTTACTTTATAATTTTTAAAAGTTTGATTATATGCACGTTTTTTTAAATTAACTTAAGTTGCTTGATCTTTAAATAAATAATTAGCTTAACATTTATTATAAAAAAAGTTATTAAAACAAACTTATTTCTTTAATATATATTAAAAACAAATAATAGGAAAAAAAAATTAACCTTATATTACATCTGCATACTTAAATTACCTGAACTAATTTTAATCGATTTATAAATAAATCATATCTAGTAAACACTAAATCACTTGCAAACTCCCACTTTTTAATTGGTTGTTCATCTTTAAAATAAGATGGCAAAATATTGCGTGTATTTTCAAACTGAATTTTGTATTCCTGTAACATACTGATTGCAATTTCAATCTTCTTAGAAGATTCTTCCAACTCACATTTAAAAATCTCACTAGGATCCAAATAATTTCTGACCTAAATGTCAATCATTATAAAAAGTAAACAATTTATACTTTAGAGATAGTTTAGCATGTTATCAAAGTTATCTATAATCATATAAACAAATATGTTTTTTTAAGGCACAAGCTCATTTTTTTAATTCTTAAATATTTGATTCATTTAAACAAAAACAAAAAAAGCAAAATATGCATAAGTTTTCACATTAAAATTTTTTTATATTCATGGAAGTTTACAAACAGTACATATAACTAATCTTAAGTAAAAACCTTGCAAATAAAAGCTAATAAATATATTATTAATGCTAATATCCACAACAGTAACATAATGAACATTAAAGCTATAGTAGTAAAATAATTAATTATTAAAAAAATAACAATAATCTTAAAAGTGGTAGTAGTAACATAATAACAATATAATGTAAACAATAAAAATGATAATAATAAAAATGAATGATAAAAATAAAATTAACTACAATAATCAAAAACAATAGTTAATAACAAAAATAATAATTAATAACAAAAATAATAGTAATTTAGCATTAGTCACATACATACAGACATGTATTAGGGTGTCCCAGCTGCCCTTTATATTCTAAAAAAGATCTGTTCATATTCTTAAAACTTGCTATTGGTTCTCACAAGCAACTCAGTTAAATTTTTTCAAAATTTTATTGGATTTAGGGGGAGCACAAGACCCTTGAACATTTACTGGGTCCCTAATATTGTAAAAAAAAGTTTGGTCTCAAAAGAAGCGAAATTATACTAAATTTCAAAAATAATAATAATTTTATAAAAAAATTATTATTTAAGATTTTTTGTGAATAATTATCAAAAAAATACACTTCTTTTATTTTTAGTAATAAAAGGTCTTTTTTTTGCAATAAAATGATAATTTTTTACCAAAATGAATATTATTTTTGAAATTTTTATATAATTTGGCTTCTTTTGAGACCTAGCATGACATACTTTTGAAAAACATTTTTTTTAATAATATTAGGGACCCGGTAAGTGTTCGAGCGTCTTGTGCTCCCCCTAAATCCAATAAAATTTTGAAAAAATTTAACCAAATTTTAAGAATATGAACAGATCTTTTTTAGAATATAAGAGCGGCTGGGACACCCTAACATATACACAGGGTGGCCATTCAAATTTGAAAAGAAAATTCCATGACTTTTCCATAACTTTTCTATGAATCTTCATAAACTTTTATGATAAACCACTAACCAGTAAATTATTTAGTACTTGCCATGCACTAAGCATTTGGTAGAATTTTCTGAAATTATGTCTGAAAAAAACTTTTTTCTTTGACTTCTCTGATAATCTATAACTTACACTGCAAAAATATATTTTTCAAAAAAGTAAATATTTTCATTGAAATTTCATAAATTTCAATGAAAATTTAGGAATTCCATGGCTAAATAAAATTCTATAACACTTCCATGATTTCCATGACCAGTGGTTACCCTGTATATAGACACATACAAATACATATATACAAACACACAAACACCTTTATATTCACAAATACATATAAACACACATACTTATATCCCCTTGTATTGTATACATACATAATATACACACATATATAGATTCATATATACATACACACCAATATATACATACACATACATAAACACCTACATGCATACATACACATATAGATACATAAATACATATACACACACATATACACATACACATATATACACATACACACATATATATATATATGAGTAGCTCTTAAAACGACTTTTTTGAAAAAAAAACCCTGCTCCCACCCCCTAAATGTATTCTATCTAATACAAAAACACTAAGTTTATATTTTTTTTGAATAAAAAATATTTTAAGGGGTCCCCAAGACCCTTGAATATTTAATGAATCCCTAATATTTTCCAAAAAAAGTTTTTCAAAAATATGTCAACCTGGTACTTAAATGAAGCAAAATTAAATAAAAATTTCAAAAATAATATTCATTTTGAAAATTATTTTTGAAATCAAAATTATCATAAAAATTTATCAAAAAAACATAAAAATGCAAAAAAACGCAAAAAAATAAAAAAACATTAAAAAAAGCAATTTTTTATGTAAATAAATTTTTTGTATGTAATAAAACCAAAAGTAACAATTTTTTTCGAAATGAATATTATTTTTAAAATTTTTATATAATTTTGCTTCATTTGAGTACCAGGTTGACATATTTTTGAAAAATTTTTTTTTTGAAAAATATTAGGGACCCATTAAATATTCAAGGGTCTTGGGCACCCCTTAAAATATTTTTTATTCAAAAAAAATGTAAATCTAGTGTTTTTGTATTAGATAGAACACATTTAGGGGGTGGGGGCAGATTATTTTTTAAAATATTGTTTTTTAGGACACCCTAATATATATATATATATATATATATATATATATATATATATATATATATATATATATATATATATATATATATATATATATATATATATATATATATATATATATATATATATATATATATATATATATATATATATATATATATATATATATATATATATATATCAGGGGCTATTCTAGACCATGTTTGACAGCATTAACCGTATTTGGGCGCCGTTTAGAGTATAATTAGAGGACCTTTTTTTTTTTTAACGTTTTTTTTACGTTTTTACAGCAAATATTGTTCTTTTTGCAAAAATAATGCTGATTTTCCGCTAAAGTCCGCCGATACAAGGGTGTACTGCCGCCGATATTTTTTTCCTATTTTAGGCCCTATATATATATATATATATATATATATATATATATATATATATATATATATATATATATATATATATTTATATATATATATATATATATATATATATATATATATATATATATATATATATATATATATATATATATAATATATATATATATATATATATAAATAATAATAACAAACTACATAAAATCCTTAACAGGAACACAGTCAAAGTTAGCTACAGTTGTATGCCAAGTGTGAAATCGATCATAAATTCGCACAACAAGTACATTTTATACAACGATGCAAACTCTAATCAAGAGGGGTGTAACTGCTTAGATAAAAATTTTTGCCCGTTGTCCAATAGATGTTTAACAAGCAGCATTGTATACCAAGCAACTGTAACCACCACTAGTGATTCATCTCCTAACGAAAAATCCTACATCGGTGTAAGTGAGACTTCTTTTAAATTGAGATACGCTAACCACGTTAAATCTTTTAACATCCCAAAGTACAAAAATGATACTGAGCTGTCAAAGCAGGTATGGAAAATAAAAGAAGCCAATTTAGTTCCTATAGTTAAGTGGAAAATTCTCAGGCGATGTAAAGCATATAATCCTACATCCAAATCTTGTAAATTATGTCTCACCGAAAAATATGAAATCCTAAATTATAAAAATACCAATCTACTAAATAAAAGGAGTGAGATTGTTTCTAAGTGCAGACATAGAAACAGATTCCTCCTTTCTCAATTTGACACTGGCGATTAGAAAATATGTTTTTTCCATAATATTATTATTATTGTTAATATTATTGCTATTATTATTATTATTATTATTATTATTATTATTGTTATTATTATATTATTATTATTATTATAATCATTATTATTTTTGCTATTATTTGTATTATAATTATTTGACGTCAGAACTCATTCCATTGTTTTTTTTGAATTTTGTAACGGTTTTTTAATTGTATTTTTGAACAGTTTTTTCTTGATTTAAATATATGGCTGATGAGTGCCGAAAATGGCATGAAACTTTAAGTACCGTAAAAAAGTTGTTTTTTCTCATCTAACCTTTTATTTATTTATATATATATATATATATATATATATATATATATATATATATATATATATACACATACATATATATATGGGCAATTCCATGAGAAAGGCAGTCATAACAATTGGCACTCTTTACTTTAAGCTGTTAAAAAAGAAACAAAGCAACTTAGTCAGACTTAATGCAGCGAGTGGCATGATAAAAATAAAAATCATTTGGAGTATTTATTCAGCACATATTGATACTATTATATGCTGAGTTTCATAGTTTTTACTTGAAGTTTTACAAGAATTTATATTTTTTTTTTGTTGTGACAATCGTAAATGTGACAGTTGAAACAAAAAATCCAATGCTTAAAAAGCAACAAATAAAACAATGCAATCAATGGTGTTACAAAAAAAAGTATAAATGATTATAAACAACCATGTATATTATGTTACGATATGATTTTTAACGCTACTAAACAAGAGTCTAAAACGTCAAAACATATTTATACAATAAATAAATATATATATATATATATATATATATATATATATATATATATATATATATATACATATATATATAAATATATATATATATATATATATATATATATATATATATATATATATATATTATATATATATATATATATATATATTAATTTATAAAAATAAAGAAAACAACTTTTTATGGTACTAATAGTTTCATGCCTAAAGGCAATCATCAGCCATGTAATACAAAACAAGAAACAAAAAAAAACCGTTAAAATATAAAGTTACAGTGGAGTGTGCTCCGTCGTCAAAACAAAACAAAAACAAAAACCTAAAAACGGCTGCCTAATCACCCGTATCGAAATTCGAAAGGAGGAATTTGCTTTTATGTCTACATTTAGATACTAATTCATTCCTCTTATTTAATAAGTTATCATAGGTGTACGATATTATGAAATATCGTACACCTATGATAACTTATTAAATAAGAGGAATGAATTAGTATCTAAATGTAGGCACTTGCTTTTAGTAATACAATTGCAACTTTTATCTGATTCTGGGGGGATGCTTTTCATAATATGACGGTTATGAAAGTTAACGATTGATTTCATGTTTGGCATACAACTGTAACTCACCTTTAGAGTATTTCTATTAAAAATCTTGTGGTATTTATGTCCAACTGGAAAGTGCTTGTCAATTAAATCCAAAAAGATTTTACCAATTTTAGTAGAAACATTTTTACTATATGGGGGGTTAAACCAGATTATATTGCGCTTATGGTTTTTTGGTAGAGGTTGAATGAGTTTCGGAATATAATTAAGTTTAAGTTTGTAACCAGACTTTTTTAATGCATCCTGATACAAATGAGCAGAGCTTCGAAAGCTAGTGTCATTAGATGAATTAGCTGACAACCTTAATTCTATAGAACGAGGAAGTTGCTTTATTATGCTAGGAGGGTGATTGGAATCAACATGTATATAATTTAGTTCATTGATTGGTTTACAAAATGGTCTAAAAGATTGATCATTGAGATTAAGTGTTACATCAAGGAAGTTCACAACTTTCATGTTACATTGTATGGAGATAGAAAGATTGTTATTTTTAAAAATTTGAATAATATGTTTTTTTATCATGTCCATAAGGTGGCCACTAGCATTTTTAAAAACCGCTAAACCATCATCTCGGTATAAGCCAAAATCTGTCTTGTTATAATGCTGTGATAGCTGAAAAAGAAGAAAAACTCCGACAAGCTCACATACTTCTGCGCCGTCAAAATCAACAGCCCTTTAAATCAACAGTGTCTCGTTAATAACATAGTGTATCAAGCCACTCTATATCCAGGCACTCCAGACGGGATTGAAAAAGTGTATTTTGGAGTAAGTGAAACTGCTTTTAAACTTAGATACGCTAATCATACAAAATCTTTTAAGTTCGAAAAATATAAAAACGATACTGAGTTGTCTAAGGAAGTATGGAAGTTAAAAGAAAATGGAGTAAACCCTACAATTAAATGGAAAACTTTAAAACGTTGTAGATCTTACAATCCCACAATAAAACGATGCAACTTATGTCTATACGAAAAGTATTTCATAATATCGTACACCTATGATAACTTATTAAATAAGAGGAATGAATTAGTATCTAAATGTAGACATAAAAGCAAATTCCTCCTTTCGAATTTCGATACGGGTGATTAGGCAGCCGTTTTTAGGTTTTTGTTTTTGTTTTGTTTTGACGACGGAGCACACTCCACTGTAACTTTATATTTTAACGGTTTTTTTTGTTTCTTGTTTTGTATTACATGGCTGATGATTGCCTTTAGGCATGAAACTATTAGTACCATAAAAAGTTGTTTTCTTTATTTTTATAAATTAATATAATGCTCTATTAAATAATATAAATAAATCCTATTTATTTATTATTGAGCACTCTTATACGTTCAAGAGTTTTTTGTATTTTATTGCAAATACAAAATATCATACAATATATATATATATATATATATATATATATATATATATATATATATATATATATATATATATATATGTATTTATTTATATATATATACATATATGTATATATATATATATATATACATATATGTATATATGTATATATGTACATATATATATATATATATATATATATATATAAATATATATATTTATGTATGTATTTATATATATATACATATGTATATATATATATATATGTATACATATATGTATATATATACATATATGTATATATACATATATGTATATATACATATATATATATATATATATATATATATATATATATATATATATATATATATATATATATATATATGTATATATATATATATATATATATATATATATATATATATATATATATATATATATATATGTATATATATATATATATATATATATATATATATATATATATATATATATATATTTATATATATATATATAGAGAGAGAGATTTATATATATATATAGATATATAGATATATACATATATATTACACAAATTATTTAAAGTATTAAATATGATAAATATGATAGTAAACTAGTAGTATAACTTTCAATTCACAATCAAGAGGTTTGAATCCAAGGTTTGTGTTTTGAGTGTAAAGTTAAAAATAAAAGTTACAAATAAAAATAAAATAAAAAAATTAACTAATTTAAAAAAAATGAGTACCCTTCTTGACTGTAGTGGCCCCATTTCTGCCTTGGGAAAGTGAATTTAATAAAAACAAAACAAAAAACCTTTCTTTTTTTGTTAAATTATCAGTAATTGAAGTTAACATTTGAAAAACACTTTATACAGAAATCTTTAAAAATGAAGGAGTTTGAAGTTGTTTGATGTTTAATATAAAAGAATCTTGTAACTTTAAAAAATATATATATAGTTTTCAAAAATATTTTTACTAATGAAACTTAAGCAATTGAAACAAATTAAAATATTAAAAGAATGTATTTAAAAGTTCTAATAACTATGAACAATAACAAAAACAAAATAAAAAAAATTAAATGTTGTAGATGAATGGTAAATTACTTACAAGATATATTAAAAAATTTCCAATTTCTTGTAATAAAACTACAATACGTCCAGGTTTACAGTAATACTTTGATTTAGCCCAAAGTATTCCAACAGCATGCATCAAAGGACATAAAAAACTATTTATTTCGGATATTTCTAATTGATCTAATTCTTCTAATGGGCGTCTAAGTGGTTTTAAGTGCATGTTAATGTCATATGCTTCATCTAATGCTGTAAATTTATACAAAAGTTAAATAAAATCATTAAAAATATTAAAATGTTAAAAAACAGTATTTTATGATCATACACTCAAACATATAAAATTTAATGCATTTTTAGACGTTTTCAAGATTTTTTTTAAATCTACAGGATTATTTTTTTCATTCATATAAAAACTACTTTCTTGCAAATACTTCTCTGCAATCATCTTCATAAAAACTACATTCTTCATAAAAATGCTTATACACAAATACATGCATATAGACCTCAATGCAAAACATTTGAACCCATCTCTAACATACACCACTTCATTCAACAAAAACTTTTATACAAACAACTTTACTGAAATAACAAAATTTCAATACCTAGAACAACTGATTTAAACAGTTTTTTGAAAGCTGAATAATAACTACTATTTGATAGTTGCAAAAGTTTTGCCATTTTCTTTACTCGTACTTCTTGCAACTAAATTTAACCATTAAATAAAGTATGACTTTTAGATTTGTTTACTTTATATAAAATAAATCATAAAACAAAAACAATTTAAAAAGTAACCTGTAGAAATATATTTTCCAAATTTATTGACCTAGATTTCCAAAAATTAAGCTCAACAAGTGGTCCAGGGTTTAAACCTTCTATTAATGGCTGAGCAGAACTTTTTTTTAACACTTTAGATATTTGGTGCGTCCAATCAATAACTACAGACTCTATCCTATGAATTAATAATCTATTGGCCTCTGACAGATCTCCAAGTCTGAAAAAAATTTATAACAATACAAATTACAGCAATAAATTTACATTACATTACACAAATTTAAAAAAAGAAGTCTTTAGTAATTATGGTTACTTTTTTATGACATTTATAAAAAAATAAAATGTTAATGTAAAAAAAAAAATGTTAATAAAATGTTAATGTATGTATGTATATATATATATATATATATATATATATATATATATATATATATATATATATATATATATATATATATATATATATATATATATATATAAATATATAAAAAGCATAAATATATATATATACATACATATATATATATATATATATATATATATATATATATATATATATATATATATATATATATATATATATACATATATATATATATATATATATAAATACATATATATATATATATATAAATACATATATATATATATATATGCATATACATATACATATACATATATATATAAATATAAATACATATGTATATATATATGCATATACATATATATATACATACATATATATATATATATATATATATATATATATATATATATATATATATATATATTATATATATATATATATATATATATATATATATATATATATATATATATATATATATATATATGTTGCCCCAGATAATCACCATAAGTTACTGCGCAATAATATTTCTAATAATTACACAAAAGCTCCAAGAAAATTCAATTAATTTAGAAGGCCAACCCATTGCTAAAACAATTAATTTAGAAGCTAGAATTGAATCAGTCGCACCAGCGCAAGCGTTTGTCGCGCTAAAAGATCATAAACCAAATTTTAAGAATAAACTCCCTTGTAGGCTCCTAGTACCCTCAAAAAGTGAACTAGGGCACATTAGTAAAATTAAATTAGACGAAATAAATAATATTATTCAAAATAAATTAAATTTGCAACAGTGGAAAAATACCACTGATGTTATAAATTGGTTTTCTAAAATTAGTAATAAAAATGAATGCACTTTTATACAATTTGATATTAATGATTTTTATCCCTCAATTACAGCCAAAATTTTAGATAAAACAATAGAATTTGGAAAACTCCACATTGAAATTACAGACGACACTATTTGTCTAATTAAACATTGCAGAAAAACTTTACTCTATTTTGATAACGATACATGGAAGAAAAAAACCACGCACTAATGCTTTGATGTAACGATGGGAAGTTACGACAAAACAGAAATTTACGAATTTGTAGGCTTATATATTTTAAATTCCCTAGCTAAAATAGTTCATTTTAATCAACTAGGCTTGTATTGCAATGATGGTTTAATTATAATACAAAAAAAATCAGGGCCTCAACTTGACAAAATCAGAAAAAATATTATAAAAATTTTTAAAAACATTGGCTTCCAAATTGAAATAAACATTAATTTAAAAATTGTGAATTTTCTTGATGTCACATTTAACCTCTCAGAAAATTCTTATAGGCCTTATAAAAAACCTAATGATGAATTGTTGTATATTAATATAAATTCAAATCATCCCCCTCAAATCTTTTCAATTAACAATAGACAAAATCAAAACTTATCTAATGAAAATATTTTTAATTTTTTTTATAAAGATGCTCTTAAAAAAAGCGGATTTAAAAATTTTGAGCTAAAATTTGAAACAAAAACTGCATAAAAACGAAATAGAAATAGAAATATTATTTGGTTTAACCCTCCGTACAGCAAAAATGTTTCAACAAATATAAGAAAAGAGTTTTTAAAATTAGTAGACAAATATTTCCCTCCCTCTAATAAATTGCACAAAATTTTTAACAGAAACACTATTAAAGTAAGATATAGCTGTACAAAAAATATTGAAAAAATTATAGAAGGCCATAATTTTGCATTAATTAAGAAAAAATAAATTTCTTAAAGAAAAAAATACTGAAAATTATAACTGTAGGCAAAAAAATTGACTGCCCTATAAATGGCAAATGCTTATCAAAAAATATTATTTACAAATGCATTGTTTCCTCACAAAACAACCCCGATAAACAATACATTGGCTTAACCGAGGGCAAATGGAAAAAATGTTATGCCAACCACAAACAATCTTTTAAAGATGAAAAATACTCAAAAGACAATGCTGTCAAAATATATTTGGCAACTAAAAGAAAAAAATATTAACTTTAAACTAAACTGGTCTATTCTAAAAATTGCGCCTGCCTAAAATAACATTTCCAAAAAATGTATATATCTGAATCAATTTCTAAATGCAGACATGAAAATAAGTTCCTATTTCTAAAGAATTCTTTTCATAATTTTTTAATTATCTAATGTAGTTGATGCAACTTCCTGGTTGCAAAATAACTACAGTTATTATTATTATACATAATTAATAATAACAATTCCCAACTTCCTGTGAAATAATTTTTTATATAATTTGAAATTTTTGATGTATAGACATTCTTCCAGATGAACCTACTGATGGTGAAACATGCTGTTGAAGAGCACAAAAAAAAAAAAAAATATATATATATATATATATATATATATATATATATATATATATATATATATATACATTTTTTTTGAAACAACAATAAACATAAGCAAAAAGTTTAATTAAAAGTAAAGGGAGATATCAAGTTCTGAAACAATGACCCATATAAACATTTAGTTAAAAAAGTGAATTTTACATACAACAAAAATATATCAACATAATAATTTCTGTGTTAGGAGTCACTTCAAAGCTACAATCTCCATCAAGCAAGCTTCTATTGGCCCAATACAAACATTGTACAAAATAACATTGACAAATTAATTGGATTGAGTAAGATTCCCTTCTTCAAATATAACAACGATTTAATAGATTATTTTATAATAAAATAAAACATAATAAAATAAAAAATTATTTTTTATGATGTGAAAAACTATAAAATATATTTTACTATAGTAACAAAAAGTACATGACAATTTTTATGTATTAAATTATTATTTAAAAGTTGGCTAACTATTCAAAAGCTTTTTAAAACTCTGCTATTCATCAAAAAGATAAAAAACAAGTTAATCTTTATTTAAATTCTTGATTTAAAAAAAGTATGTAACAATCAGAAAATTAGAAAACATTACACTTATATGGTAATTTATAAAGTTCTAACTTTGATTGCTAATAACTGCTTTAACATTACATTAAAATTAATGATTCAATGATAAAAATAATGTTATCTTAGTACTAATATATTTTTATTTAAAAACTTTTTCTTTGGAGAATTTTAAATATTTCTGAGAGTAAAACTAACATAGAATTTTATTTTTTACTTTATTAGCAAATCATGGAAAAGCTCGTCAAAATTTCAATACATTACGTGTATAAGAATTACATTTATAAATATTTATAAATATTTATTACGAAATAAACTTATAATGGCTATATAGAAAACCATATTATAGTTGTGTTTATAATACTGTAATATTCAATGAGTTGTTTTGCATAATAAATCCATAAAAAAATAATAGGCATATCTTTTAATTATTTTATTTTTAGTTAGGTTGTGTGATAATTACTCTAAATTTAAGACAACATGAGATAAACATATCTGAAGAAAATAAAGACTTCATAATACATTTTATTTTACCAGAAACTGCTAAAATGATCAGTTTACCTCAGACAAATTTTAACTTATTCTAAATATATGACTAATTTATTGTTATTACAATGTTTTTCTGCATAGTATCTTAGTTTCAAGTTTTAAAAAAAGAAAGAGTAATTTGCTTGTTTTGTAATTTCAATTTCAATTTTCATTTCAAATGAAAGATATAAGGCCAGTTAACTCTAGAAAATTGTTAAGAAAATAAATTGTCTTGACAATTTTTGTTAATTATGAGCTTTTATCAGATTTTTAACTCAGCAACTCATTCTATTATCTCCTAATGAGGGTACAGCTTTATATTTCTAAGGCCGGCTGGTAGTCAGGTTTCCCAAACTCTGTAGTAGCTCTCAGAGAGGCTGATTCCATCAACAGCTGTAAAGTATCAGAGTACTAACAGTGCCATGTTGTGCATGGATGATATCTTAAATTCTCCTAAATTGCTCAACTTGTTTCTCTATATAGTGGTCTTGTTGGTCAAGGCTAGTAAGCTTAACTTAAGTTAAATTAGTTATTACTGCAAGTAATAACTAAAGCTTAACTGTAGTTAAATTACAAAAAACTGTTTAAATACAATACATGATAATAAAGTAATACAATACGTATATGACAATTTAATTAACATGGATGAAGTATTAAAACCATTAAAAAATTTTTTAAGAAGTCATCAAACACAGTTTTTTTCACAGGTTTTGGGAAAAAATTAATTTATAACAGCAACAATAAATAATAGAAACATTTCCTGTAAGCAGTGCTTAAAGTGAGACAGGATGCTATCCTGGTATTTTTTTATAAAGTATAAATTATACTGCCACTATTTTTCAATTCTCTAAATATAACAATCATTAGACAGAAATTATTTTGAAATTATTATTAACCGTCTCTTTACTTTTTTTTTACCCCACTTTGAGCATTGCTTATAAGTTAAAAAAGGACTTAAAATCAATTTATTTAAACATATGTCCATTTATATAAAATTAAAATTTCTTAAAATAGCATGTTTTTTGTTGCTAATTTTTATGTTTCAAGGTTTTAAAGAGTGTTTTAAGAGTATTTAAGGTCAAAGGTTAAATCCATAGTGCAAACTTTATTAAAGCTACGTAAGCCATAATGCAAACTTAATAAAAGCTAAGTAAGTCATAGTGAAAACTTTATTAAAGTTAAACAAGCTATATTGCAAACTTTATTAAAGCTAGATTGGTCATAGTGCAAACTTTATTAAAGCTAGATTGGTCATAGTGCAAACTTTATTAAAACTAAGGACATAATATCCTTTTAAAAAATGCTTTCTTCAATATTTTTGTACTTTGTAATCAATAAATAATTTCTTTAAATTATCACTTGTAATTCAAATAATGATGAATATATGTGTATGTGTGTAAAAGAAAATTATTAAAATATATATTCAATATGTATTTATCTTGTATATACATTTTAAATATCATATTTATTTTACAATATTTCAAATGTTAAATACATTATAAATATTGTATTTGTTTATGTATTACTTGTCATTAGGAAATTCTTCATTTAGGTTTTCTAATCCTATTGGTAGTGGTAGAAGAGTTCTTCCTTTGTACTGTCCAGAGATTACAAAAACATTATTTTTTAAATCAATAGCATGATGTAAAATATCTTGTGATACAACATCGGGCCAACTTGTTTGATTTTTCTCATTCGATAGTAGAGGAACAAATACCTAAAATAAATGTTATATATATAAAATTATATATAAATAAACATATCTAAATAAACTTTAATACTATATATAAAAACCTAAATCCTCAGTAATATATTACTATGGTAGTAAGATATTATTATATATTAATATATATACTACTACTATATATATATATATATATATATATATATATATATATATATATATATATATATATATATATATATATATATTTATATATATATATAAATATATATATTATACTACTACTATATATATATATATATATATATATATATAATACTATGTATATGTATATATATATATATATATATATATATATATATATATATATATA